ATAGATTGCAGTGAGCCAAAAAATAAGAGAGGTAAGAAAAAGTGTGGAAAAACAAGAAAATTTTTTTGTGAAAATGAAAAAGTGATAGAAAATTTTGCAAAGAAAAGCAAAATGAAAATAAGAGTGGAAAGACAAAAGCGTGAAAGGAAAAAAAATATGTGGCAAGAGAACTTAATGAGAGAATAAAAGTAAGGAAGCTTGCCTTAACTCAGTTCCCACTCTATTTGCGAAAAAAGTCTCACTTAGGGATACTCGTAATTTTATGGTAGCAACTTTGATCTAGTTTGACTTTGTGCAACTCACTAATGACAAGCTCGGATTGGTTGCCAGCCTAGAGAATCCCTTGAGTGACTGTCCTATTTTCGAGTCATTTTTGTGCTAGAAAATTTTCATTAAGGGGAGTGTGCATAGTCTCTACTGGATTTGAAAAAGTTTTTTGAGTGAGACAATAGAAGATTTTGAAAAGCTTTTATCTTTTAAACAAAGGTGGCCTTATGATGATTTTGCTTGAGAAAAGTAGTAGGGATTAGAGCTTTGACGTTCCTCCTGAGACACCATATGAGCAAATTACTCRGCTCTGCTTGATGTTTGGTTTRTTCTTGAAWTTTKCATGCTTATTATTGATTTGGTWGTTGTTGTTCTTGCTTGGGGACAAGCAAAGTTTCAAGTTTGGGGGTGTGATAAGTCTTGAATTTTAGGAAAAAGTGTTTACAAATTGTGCATGTTTAGTGTCTTCTGAAATTAAATACATATGTTTCAAGTAGTTGTTTGCAACCATAAAATTCTAAAAGTTCTTTATGAATGTTTTAAAAATTCATTTCCTGTTCGTATGATTGAATTGTAAGTGTTTCATGTACATGTCATATGTATATATTTGCCTACATTGGTATATATTCAGCGAAGTATAGTGCCCATTGTTTGGTATTTGAATCTGGGTGTTCAAATGATGATTGTGTTTCATTATTATTTTATACTTTTTTGAGAAAGTATTTGTTTATTTTACAATGTGATGAATTTGTCAATAATTATTTTGTTTAAACATAAATAATGATTTGGAAACTTAGTGAAAGTTTTTGACTCGATGTTGAATAATATAATTGTTATCACATAATTTGAAAATTGTAAATATATGATGTGAAAATATGTCTTGTAGATTCTAAGAAAATGACATCTGCTTCTAAGAATATAATTGTTGAATTGAACAGAAATGAGAAGCTTAATGAGGATAATTATGAGATTTAGACAACTAAGAGATTCTAGAAGTGTTAAGCAATATGTTAACTAATCCTGAAAAGGGCAATACTACTCAATGTAGGAGGGACAGGGAAGCTTATGAAGTATGGAAAAAGAAAATCTCATTTGCTCGCATTATGTTGCTAAGTAGCATAGACAACGATTTCATGCATGAGTATCACTCTTATGACATTGTCAATGACATGTGGGAAGCATTAAAGTCGAAATTTGGTGGGACCTCTGTCACCAAAGTTAGGTAACTTACTATTAAGTTTGATACGTACAAAAAAAACTCTAATTATAATATGAGATAACACATAAGAGAGATGTCTAATATGATTAGTGAGCTAAAAGAAGCTGACCATTTCTGATTTATGAACAAAATGTTGAAGCTGCTATCAATTGGGAGCACATGAAAGTGCATTTCTGATGTTTCACGTCATCTTGAACTGGAAGAAGACCACATGGAGGCTGTTGGGTTTTATGTCTAAAAACTCATAGTTTGTAAATGCTAGATATACTTTTATCATTCAATAAAGTTGTTATTGAAGGTTATAATCAATAAGTAGTTATTGATCCAATAAAATGTTCTTACTAGATCTAAATCCAATAAACTAAGGATCCTAGACTGTTACATGAGACTCAACCTTTATGTAGAGACATAAATATGGATCAAGTTTGAGTTAACAGTCTAACTGGTCTATAGTATAGGAATAAGGTTGGGCACTTTATTCTAGGGATAATATGGATGCGACCCACTTTGTAGCTAGTACAAATGATGTGATCCTAATTCGTTCATGTGAAGACATACAAGTGGGGGCGTCCTGTGTAAAGAGTTTGCATAAGATCGGAATATGAGATAGTCACTTTTACTTTATAACACTATTTACTATCTGAAACTGACTATCTTGACTCTGATGGCCTAGGTAACTCGATCTTAATCCTGAGCTAACTATGAACTTCTGTTTACTCGGGATTATCCTTAGATCTGCATGGGTGAGAGCAACTCAACTTCGCTGGTTCAATAAGCCTCCCATTTCAGGGGTAAGACCAAGTAGATAGCTAGGGACATAGGGTGCAAAAAGGAATTCACTTTTACCCAATTTTGGGATAGTAGAGAGGTTGTTCTCTTAATGGCTGAATCCAAGTCTTGAACAATTGGCGCCACCCTCATCAAAAGATTTGAGAGGATTTTTTGATTTGGTAGTTGGACTACAAATCATTGTTCATTAGAGGATCAGTGGGACTTAAGGAACAATAGGTAATTACAGGGGTAAAACTATTGGGTGTGTTACCCTAAACTCGTAGTTTGTATGTTGTGTAAAAACAAATGTATATTCAATAAAGGTTTATTCAATAAATTTGTTGTTGAATTCATAGCATTGCATTGTCCAAAATCCAATAAACTAAACATTCGAGGTTATTTTAGTGTAACCGGGACAGTATATGTACTGGGTATATATTTGATATACTGGACATATAATTGATATACCCCTGATATACGAGGTATATGTTTGATATACCCTGATATACAAGTGGATAATGTCTCGGTAATAACCTAAAGGGTCTATAATATATGGATAAGGTTGGGTACCTTATCCTAGCAACACTATGGATACGGCCCACTCTGTAAAGGTTACAGACAACTCGAACAAGGGGCCCCACCCTCTCATTGGCCCGAGAGGGACTTCTGGTTATTGGTCGGACCATAACCAGGTTGTTCATTAGAGGAGCAGTGATATTTAAGGAGTAAGATGTAACTCAAGGGTAAAATGGTAATTTGACCCAACTTGAGTTACAAGTACTCGTGAAGGATTGACTCGTCATTAATGGTCGTATATCCATGGACACGAAAACATTCTGCAGTGAGAAGAGTGCAACTGCTGGTCTTTAGTGGAATGACCTGTAGTTAACGAATCTTGATTAACTCGGTCAATGAGTTTGACCGATTAATCTTGCATCGTTGGAGCTTCTGATCTGTAGGTCCATTAGGTCCCCTTGCTAGCTCATAACGGGTAAAACGAGGATCAAGGTTTTGGAAGAATTTGAACTGTTCAAATTTCATAAGGGATTATATGTATATTGATACATTATAATATATAGTTAATTCTAAATTAAAACTATATATTATGAGAGAAATTATTTGAATGAGATTCAAATAAAATTAATATGAATAAGCGGTTCATCTTATATTTTAATTCTATGGTCCCAGGATCTCTCTCATTCAAATGTGGTATCGGTTCATTCTAGTCAGGCATTACATGCCCAGCAGCTTTCACTTTGGTTCGTCCCCGAACCACATCTTACTGGGAGAGGTTTCACTCTGATACCATTCTGTGACACCCCAAGCCTAGGATTCGGAATCCGGATTCGGCACCTCTTTGCCTCGGTATTCCCCTGCATCCCCTACGACCCGGCCGCGTCACCATCTAATTCTGAACTAACTGGTTGTATCCGAAATTGATAAGTAGAGATATAAATGATCACCTGATTCTGGCTTTGATAACAACATAGTGGTTCCAAGATACTCCTTTAACTGAAGAAGCATTTTCTCACATTCTTTTGTCCATTCAAACTTTCCTTTAGTTCTAAGGATTTTAAAAAATGGCAGACATTTGTCAGTAGATCGAGAAACAAAGCGATTTAAGGTGGTGATTCGCCCATTTAGACATTGGAATTGCTTTAACTTTTTAGTCGATTCCATTTCAAGAACTGCCTTAATTTTATCAGGATTCACTTTAATTCCTCTCTGGTTGATCATAAATCCTAAGAACTTTCCTGATGAAACTCCGAAGGTACATTTAGTGAGATTGAGTTTCATCTTATAATGTCGTGACACCCCAAAAGCTTTTGTGAGGTCGGTTATATGTTGTTCGTATGTTTTGCTTTTAATTAACATATCATCGACGTAGACTTCCATATTCCGGCCAATCTATTTATTAAACATTATATTAACTAAGCACTGATATGTTGCTCCAACATTTTTCAAGTCAAAGGGCATTACTTTATAACAATAAAGCCCTTAATCGGTTACGAATGCAGTATGCTCCTGGTTGAGTGTATGTATTTTTATTTGATTATATCTGGAATAAGCATCCATGAATGTTAATAACACATGCCATGTAGTCGCATCCCCTAATTGATCGATCTGTGGTAACGAAAAACTATCCTTTGGACATGCTTTATTTAAGTTAGTAAAATCGACACACATCCTCCATTTTCCATTAGCTATTTTAGCCATTACTACATTAGAAAGCCACACGGGGTAATCAACTTCCTTTATTAATTCAACTTTGAGGAGTTTGTTAACTTCCTCTGAAATTACAGCACTACACGCAGCATCCATAGGTTGGCGCTTTTTCTTGACCGATTTATAATCTGGATCAATGTTTAGCCTATAGACTATTACACTTAGGTCAATACCCGGCATGTCCTCATGTGAGCATGCAAATACATCAGAATTGTTTTCTAAAAAATTAATAAGATCGGTCTTAAGCGAAGCTCGTAGTCTTGCCCTGACTTATACTCACTTGTTTGGAAGATTTGAGTGGGACTTATTCGAGCTCTTCTATTGGCTCTTATATTGGAGTAGCCCAACCTTCTTTTGCCGATCTATCATATGTATTTTCTTTAGTTTGTGTGGCCGCAGTAGAGGTCTCTCTGACAATCATTGCACATATCCGCGCCATTTTAGAGCCATTGCATAGCACTCTTTAGAGTCATTTTGTTCTCCTCTCACTACTCCCACCTCATTATTCGTGGTGTACTTACTTCATCATTTGGTGTAGGTAGACGGTACGACCTGCAAGTCATGAATATAAGGTCTCCTAAGTATTGCATTGTAAGTAGAAGCCCCGTCAACCACGACGAACTCAACAATTTTTCAAAGTTCATCCTCTCCTTCTCCAATCAGGACTAGGAGCCAGGTACAACCTTCTATTGTTACTAACTCACCTGAGAACCCGACCAATGGTGTTGGACATTGGTTTAGTTGAGATATCTCCCAACCCATAGCCAAATAGGTTGAAAGAGATAAAATATTAGTAGCAGCGCCCCCATCGACCAACACTCTTTTCACTCGTACGTTGTCAATCAAGGGGGAGATAATTAAAGCGTCATTGTGCGGTAGATGAACACCTTTCGAATGTTCTGCAATGAAAGTTATTGCTACTGCCGGTCGAATAAATGAGGTGTTCACCTCATGTTGTGCCTCTCGGATTAATGCTTTCCGCTTATTTCCAAACTGTCTCCCATTAGGCCCGTCGAAAATTGTGTTTATTACAGCACATCTTTTCTCATTCTGATCTCTCTTCTTCGGCGAGGGTGACCGATCTTTGTCATCTCTATCTGATCGGACATACTTCATTATCCCTTGCGTGGAGCATGAATCCCTCCGCCCCACGTGCTTTTTCAAATGACCTTGCCGAATTAAAATTTCAATCTGATTTTTCAGGTCATAACACTGAGAAGTATCATGACCATGATCTCAATAGACATATCTTCCTTGATATCCCATTCTGTAACTCGGGCTGATGGCTCTGGGACCTCCCTAGTCTCAGCGGGGATTTGGGCCATCGTCAGTTCTACAATTTCCGCATGCAGGTGAGCAACACCACTTAATTCCGTGCGAACTTGATTTAACTCTACCCATAGACCAGTTAGTTCTTAGCCCATCTGTCGTGCAATATTTGATGAGTTAGGTCGTAATGGGTTCCTTCGCTACGCACCTCTTCTCATGAGTGGCAGCCGACCCCTTCCCCGTGCCGGCATGCGAACGGAGGAGCGGGAGCGACTGCTGGTGAAACTCGATTGTTGAGACTGATTATCTGCCATAATTCAGTAGCAAAAACTCCGATCATAGATTCCTTAGTGATAAAACTTGAGAACTCTCGTTCCCACATATGGTGCTAATTGTTCTTACCGAAAAATTTTAGATAACAAACAATAGATCTTCCAAAACACTCAAAGATAAGATCCTGCAAAAAGGAGTTGGCACTCCAAGATTTTGTCAGTATTAAATCGAAAAAAATCATGTTTACTTAAAGAGAATGAGAATCATTTTTTTTTATTCTCTTTGATGGTGTTTACCAAATTGTTCAAATAGTGGGACCCACCTACTTTTTTAGGAGGCAATCTCATTCCTCTCCACATCATCATCAATCCTATTCTCATTCATTATTCCGTGTGTCCGACACACTTAATGTAAATACTTTTTTACTTTTACCCTTTCTATTTTATGATTAATGAGACCCATAACTTTTTATTTAATTGTTTTATATTTTTAATCTTTTTTAATTTATACTACTAATAATTTTTCTTTTAGTAAAAATTTATATCACTTTTATGAGTGATGTGATATTATTATAAAATATTTAATATTTAATTTAATTTTGTTATTAATAATATCAGATTTTTTAAAATATAATTCATTATTATTATTTATCATAATAATAAAATTTATAACATTATTATAATAAATTTTAATAATATTTTATATTAAATGATATGGTTCTAATAAAATAGTATTTTAGTGGATGTAATTTTATTTTTATTATTTATTAATATTAATATTAAATAAATTGTTGTTGTAAAAAAATATTTACTATCAATAATATAGTAATAAAATAAATTATTATTGTAATTAAAAAACTTAGCACCACAATGTATTTGTGATTAGCTAGAAAGAAGACAGGGATGTACTAGTAATTGTCATATATCTGATTTTAATTCTGATTCCAGACAGTTTTAGTAAACATGATCATAGGAGTTCTGATTCCGATTTCAGAAAATTGAAAGGAATAACATTCACATTCCGATTCGGATTGATTTTCATTCTGATTCTTAGTAGGTAAACAGGGTCTAAATTCTTATGCTCTCAATCACAGTAATCGTGTACATTTACCTTTTTCACTTACAAATATTTACAGAGCTCCTCGATAATCGTTGGTATAAAAGATTTGAGTTAAAAAATACAGTTATCATCGAATTTTTAAGAAAAACAGTATGCGTCGAAAGGGGGATTCGGTTAAGCGAATAACATTTGAACGTTGAGAATGAGTTCAGGTATTTAATGCGCAGTTCGGAATTTTTCGAACTCATCCGACTTGCATAAACTTCACATAAGTTCCATCTCTAAATGAACCGCTGATGACGTCTCTGGATAAATTTTCACCTTAATCATAAGTAAATTTCAAAAATAAAAAATTAGTTGTTAAAATGGATTTCTATTTTTCAAATGTTGTAATGCTCAACTTTTTTTTTTCTTTCGGATATTTCTCTGTAATAAATTTATTTCTTACTCTATAATTTTTTGGGCTTAAATTCCTCTCTCTAACAAATTTATCTTTCTCTTTCTAGAATTTTCATGTTTATAATATTTAATAGGGAAAAATACACTTTTGGTCAGTGAGGTTTAGAGCAGTGTCTATTTGGTCTCTGAAGTTTTAAAATGGACACTTTTGGTGACTGAGGTTTGGATTTGGTATCTATATAGTCCCTCAAATTTCAAAATGAACACTTTTAGTCCTTCAAGTTTGAGAAATAGATCTAAATAGTCCCTTAATTTGATGATGTGGAACTTTAATTGCTGAGTAGGCAAAATAAATTAATTTAATAATATATTTTTGAAAAGTTAGGACTTCTGTTTTTTTTTTATTATTATTTTTTAAGTTATCTCCCATTTCATCTTCTTCTTTCCCTTTTTCCGGTGAAATTCACCACGCCGGCCAACTTCCGATAACCTTTGCCAACCACATGAAAATGGAATCTCTCTCTCACCCTATATGAAAATGGTGTTTACCACTTCCTCTAATCCTCGAAACAGAATTTATTGAACAAAAATTCTTAGCTTACATATCAGAGCATCATTCCTTTCCCAAATTTCTCTCACCCTAAATT